AGTTGGCAGCTTTAAAATCTTGAGTCTTTCTATCCGTAAAATGCCTATTTCCCCAATTTTTTGTTTGTTTTTAAACATTTCAATACGCTTACAAAACTTTATCTTAAATAAATTGCACATTCTTGGTTAGATTACACTTTGGAATCTCCCTTATCTTTTTTTTTTACCATTGTAAATATTATATATTTTTACACTATATGTTCCATTTGTTGCATATATTACAGAAATGCAAATAACAATTATATATTGATTTTTTAACTTGCCAAACTATTTTTATTCATTATTTATTCTAGAAATACTAACATGCATATTTAATTTGACAGTTAAAATGTAATAAGTCTGTTTACCTCTCTCCAAACTTATGTGCTGTTTTTGTCCAGCACTTTAGTCTTAACTGAATTTTTAACCCCACAGAGTATTCCTTCATTATTGTTCTCTCATAGATCAAGGCAGGTTCATATTCTGCCACGTTTAGTGCTTTCTTTGCTCACTATTCTTGCAGGCATCCGACTTTTCTCTTGGGATGATTTTTTTTTCTTTCTCTAGAACTGCATTATAACTTTAGTTAGTGAGAGTCTGTTGAGTAAATCTCTGTTTATATTTTCTTTTGTTTTTTAACTTTTCACCTCTTTATTTTGCCTTTGCCTTTGTATTCTACAGATGTTGGGTACTGTGTTCAACATTTATTCAAAAAGATAAACTTAGTTACCCTCTTGTGTGTATCTTCTGTGTACTTGCAGATTTATGTATTCATCTGGCTATACTACCAGTTATTAAGAGAGCTATATTAAAATCTACCATTATGATGATTAATTTGTCTACTTTAAAAAAATTCTGCTGATATTTATTTCATATATCTTAAGATTCTATTATTAGGTACATGCATGATTAGAACACTTACATCTTTCTGTTATTTTATCATGTGCTGCCCTCTTTAATCTCAAATAATGTTTCTTTCACTAAAGTATACTTGGTTTGTTGAGAATATACACAGAGCAGCTTTCTTTTGCTAGTGTTGTGTGTAGAGCTGCCTCCAGTGTTAGTGAGATCCTGTGCAAATCCTTTACGTTGGGCCCCTGTCTAGAGAAATAATTTGATTTTAAAAATGTGTTAGAAGATCCATAGGTCCACCTGGGGTGCCGTCATTTATTCCTGAAGACCTAGAATGAGGAGGAGAGCAGAGGGACATACCCACTGGGTGATTCTGAGCAGCGTCCTGGGGCTTTTCCACACTCACTGGGTGGTTCTCTGAGCAGTGTCCTGGGGCTTTTCCACACTCACTGGGTGATTCTCTGAGCAGTGTCCTGGGGGTTCTCCACACTCACTGGGTGATTCTCTGAGCAGCGTCCTGGGGCTTTTCCACACTCACTGGGTGATTCTCTGAGCAGCGTCCTGGGGCTTTTCCACACTCACTGGGTGATTCTCTGAGCAGCGTCCTGGGGCTTTTCCACACTCACTGGGTGATTCTCTGAGCAGTGTCCTGGGGGTTTTCCACACTCACTGGGTGATTCTCTGAGCAGCGTCCTGGGGCTTTTCCACACTCACTGGGTGATTCTCTGAGCAGTGTCCTGGGGGTTCTCCACACTCACTGGGTGATTCTCTGAGCAGTGTCCCGGGGGGTTTCCACACTCACTGGGTGATTCTCTGAGCAGTGTCCTGGGGCTTTTCCATACTCACTGTTGATTCTCTGAGCAGTGTCCTGGGGATCCTTCCATGCTCACTGGGTGGTTCTCTGAGCAGTGTCCTGGGGGTTCTCCACACTCACTGGGTGATTCTCTGAGCAGTGTCCTGGGGATCCTTCCACACTCACTGGGTGAGTCTCTGCGTGTGGGGATTCTTTCCAGTGTCCAGACACCATTTTCTCCTGTTCATGTCCAGAAATCCCTCTTCGTGTTCTTTATCATCAAGCTCACCATTCCTGGCTGATTTCATATCTCCCAACATGACAATAAGGTGACCACCCAGTTGTGACTCACCGTGGCAGGGCCCTTGGGATCCCGTTTGCAGACCCCTGTGGGTCTCCTGGCCTCTGCAGCGCCGATGCTGTGGGCCTGGCACCTGCTTCCTCTTGACTCTAGGAGCCTGGTCCTCAGCACTGACTTCCTCAGAGCCTCCCAAAGGCTGTGTCCCTGCTACCTTGATGAAAGCCACGAACCACGTCTCCAGAGAACACAGGAAACCGGCTGGACCGGGGATTCTCCACATTTGCAGGACATGGGGTCTTGGGGTTTGCATCAATTCTGGAAAATGTTTGGCTCTTCTGTCTCTGCGTCGGGCATGTCTCTTCTCTCTCAGCTCATCTGTGGCTCTCTAAACATTTCCCAGCCCTTCTTACCTCAGCCTCCGTGTTCTTCATCTTCACTTTCATGTCGCCCAAACGCTTTCCCTCTGTGGGATGATGTTTGAACAATTCCTTCAAATCTCTCTTCTAGTCCATTTATCACCTCTTCTGTTGTGTCTAATATACTTTTAAATACACACATTGTGTTCCAGACCTCAACACTGCATCTTTCATTTCTAAAAGATGCATTATATTCATTTACAAACTCACGAGGTTATTTTTAGAAATTCTCATTCTTCAATTGCAGCTTTAATATATTTTAAAATATTTTAATACACCCTTCAAAGAGCACACTAAAACTTTTAAATTATATTTAAACGTATTTCAAACACACACATTGACACCCGGTGTACTATAATCCTAATACCATTTGTCTTCTGGGGTCTGATCCTTCTGTTTTGATTTTTTCTTATAAGCCTCAGTCATGGTGGCCTTTTTCCTCCTGGGCGTCTGCTTTCGAATATGAATATGTCCCTTTGATCTGTTTCTATGGAGTCTCTTTGGGGACTGGATTTGAAATGCGTCCCTGCAGAGGTTTTCTATTCCTCATTGTCAGCTGCCTGGGGCCACTTCCCACCAGGGACCACTTCAAACCACTTTTTTTTTTTTTCACACAGGTAGTGTGAATACTGACTCCAGAATCACATGTGGATGGTCTGTGGTTCTTCATTTTTCAGGGAGGCTTCTCCCTCTGTCTAGAACTGGGCATGTTTCCTGTTTTCCTTTGCAGAGCATTTCTCCTGTCCCACAACGAGGATGCTGCTTTCCTGGGATCCTGGAAATCTCCCGGGCAGCCTCCTGCCCTGGACAAGGGCTCGGTCACCAGGCGCTGGCACCTGCACAGATGGGGTGGGTTAACATGGGAGTCTCCCGGGCAGCCTCCAGGTCTGGACACCGGTTCCCCAAGACAAGGGCTCGGTCACCAGGCACTGGCACCTGCACAGATGGGGTGGGTTAACATGGGAGTCTCCCGGGCAGCCTCCTGCCCTGGACAAGGGCTCGGTCACCAGGCGCTGGCACCTGCACAGATGGGGTGGGTTAACATGGGAGTCTCCCGGGCAGCCTCCAGGTCTGGACATGGGTTCCCCAAGACAAGGGCTCGGTCACCAGGTGCTGGCACCTGCACAGATGGGGTGGGTTAACATGGGAGTCTCCCAGGCAGCCTCCAGGTCTGGACACCGGTTCCCCAAGACAAAGGCTCGGTTACCAGGCGCTGGCACCTGCGCTGGTTGGATGGAGGCTTTGCTTCAGCCTCTCCCTATTGTAGGTTTTCTCTCAGGATCTCGTCTTCTTCTCGGCCAATTCAGCCTTGCACTTTTTAAAAATTGTAATCATATCATTGAAAAACTGTTTCATACTGGAAAGGTTTTTCAACACATGTACCTGATAAGATCCCCATTCAGCAAGGGCATATAGGAGTGGCAGCCTGTCATGTCCCAGATTCTGAGGACACAGCTGCACCCTGCCACGTGCGGCTCCCATTTCAGTGATTCTCAGGTCAGGACGGGAGGGGTTTCTGGACGGCCCGGACCCCTAGCCTGCGCCTGCCTTCCTCTCCTGCCTCCTGAGCAGCACTCAGGGGAGTGGCTGCCCCAGCACCTGCCTGGGCTCCCCTGTGGGGGACGGGGAAGAAAAGAGCAAGGCTCCCCTCCCAGCAGGAGGAAAGTCGTGCGGTGACCTGGCTGGCTCCTGGAACTGTAGAGAAGTAAAACTAGGACAAGGATGGGGAAAAGTATCTTCGGAAGTGGCGTGAGTGGAAGGATAAAATAAATGCTCTCTCTTTTCCTTGTTCTGAAAAGGTTAGGGGAAAAGCAGGCACCTGACAGGCAGGGAAGGGGTGGCAGAGTCGTGGGATGTTGGACTCACTGAAATTCAAACCTGCCAGGAAATTTGATTAATTTGTCTACTTAAAAAAAAAATTCTGCTGATATTTATTTCATATATCTTAAGGTTCTATTATTAGGTATATGCATGATTAGAACACTTACGCCTTTCTGTTATTTTATTATGTGCTGCCCTCTTTAATCTCAAATAATGTTTCTTGCACTAAAGTATACTTGGTTTGTTGGTAATACACATAAACCAGCTTTGTGTAGCTGAGGCAGGAGCTTCAGGCCCCTTGACTACTGCAGCCCACTTCCCTCCACCGCTGCGTGGGCCCCGAGTTGGCCAGGGTGAGCTACACAAAGCACCATGTCTGCTGCCTGGATTGCAGGCAGTGAGCAGGTTATTACCAAAAATCAGAAAATGTGGCCCTGCCCAGCCCTGCGGGGCTGCTTCCAGGCTGCCCTGAGGGCAGAGGAGCCTCCCAGGAACAGGATCTCTCCCTCTATTCATTCCCTGTGTTGAGTCATGAGGCTTTGGGGAGAAGGTGCATAACGGGAAGGCCTCCCCCTCCCACCTCTCTATTGAGATGCGGTGAGGCTGTCGCTTCCTATGAGTGTTTTGCTTTCCCAAATGCAAGCAGGGGGACTTGCAGAATGGCAGGTGCTGGGACCTGCTGGGAAGAGGCTGCAGCCCCCACGCTGCACTCCTTGTGGACTCCCCCCAGGTGGCTCTCTGGCAGGGACAGGACCTTTATGTGTGGTAGTCCACAAGCGTGCCCTCTCTTTCCAAAGCCAGTTTGTCCAGCCATGACTGGTCCTGGTCTTGCTGATAGAAGAAAGAGCACTGCACTGGGCCCAGAGGCCCAGGATCCTGGCCCCACCTCAGCTGCCTGAGTGGCCTTGGGTGCCCCAGGCCAGCCCCTCGGAGCAGCAGCAGGGGTTTGCTGAGAAGCCAAGGGTCCTGAAGCTCCTGCAGCTCCCCTACCTGTGGGTGGGCTTCAATCCGGTGTGCAGCGCTCTGGCCCACAAAGCTGAGGCCTGTGACAGCGGCCAGCCTCGGTCCCAGCCTGGGGCTCAGCTCTGAGATGCGTGAGGCTGTGTCTGGTTGGGTGGAAGGAACTCTTCTCTCAGGGTAAAGAGCATATAGGGTGAAACAGGTTTCACTCGCGTCCCTGTCCTGGACTTTTCACATTTTACATTTTTCTTTTCTATTATTTTTTGGCCTTTTTCTCTGACTGTGCCAAGGAAGTGTTTTCTCCTAAGGCCGTAGGGAGGTGGCCAAGGCTGACTCACCCTGGACCTGGCCCGTGGACTCCCAGCTCATAGGAGAGGCAGATCCTTATGGTCTGTCTGAGGGCTTGGAAGTTGGACCACTGGGAATCTTCCCTCAATGGCTTAAGGACGTCTCATGGGCTGGCTCTTGTGCAGGGAGGGGTCTGGCTCTTCGCTGGAGTCCCTCCCACACTATCTGGTTTCACACAAGCCACAGAGCAGGTGATTCAGCTTGAGATGGCCCCGCTGCCCTGCCAGGTCCCCCTGAAACCTCATTCTCTCTCAGGCCCCACGGTCTCATGGGCGTATTTCTATTTTACCACTTAGCTCCTTAGATACTCAAAACTCTTGCCCTGTCTAATTCTGAACATGGAAAAAGGTCAGAAGTCAGATGCCTCAGGGACTGGTCCCAAGGCAAGCATATCTCAATGTGTTTATTAATGAGCTGAAAGAGTCAGAGGAAAGGTTAAGAGGCAGAGTTTGCTGAATGTACAGAATTATTTAAGTTAACTCTTCAGGGAAGAAAAAACAGACTACCTTCTATGAAATTCTATTTTTTTCTTACCCTAAGACTATTTTGTCAAGGTGAAAAATATTAAGACAATCAATGGTGCAGAGAACATACTTAGTCTCCTCTTTCTTTGTTGAGACAGAATTTACTAGTGAGAGTAGAGATCTGGG